TGAATGCTCCAATAGCTCTTTCTCATCTCTATTTCCATTTTTGTGGTCTATTAAATGAGAGTTTTCTGAGAATTCAAGCACACGGATAGAGGCCAGATTTGATCGATGGGTAGGTAAACCAATAGATGTACTTTTTTGTGACTGGGGGAAGACTATGGCAATATAGCATCATGTTGCATGTGCTCTTCCAGATCATTGCCATTTCCATATCAAGAGGCAGGGTCTATCCTCTCTACTTGAACATGGTATGGACTATATGACTACTTTGACAAATGGAATATGGCAGAAATGATTCTATTAATATGTAACTTCTAAGGTCAAGTAAAAAAGGATAATGCAACTTCTGCTTGGCTCACTCTCTTGGGACACATGCTTTTTGGAGCACCGAGCCATCATGTCAAAAGTCCCATTACCCTGAAGCCAGCATACTTGAGAGACCATATAGAGAAACCACATGGAAATAGGGCCAGATACCTAAGGAACACCCGCTATTTTAGCCTTCACTGTCCCACTGTTCAAGACTTTCAAACCTATGTACAGACATGTGAATGAAGAAACTTTTTAGATGACTTCAGCAACAGCCTATTTCTGGCTGCAACCTTATGAGACTCCCTGTGCCAGAAATACCTAGCTGAGTTGATTACAAATTTATGACCCACAGAAAATATCTGAACTAATAATAAAGTTATCGTTGGTGTTTTATGTCACTAAATGTTTGGGTGATTTGTTACACAGCAACAGTATCTAAAACACTGCAATAATTTAAACACTATAGTATTGGCTCATGAATAGAGTAACTGAACAAAATAAAAAACTAGAAAATAGAATAATTGATGTGTAGATATATATGAAGGTGGTGGTATTGCAGGATAGTGAAAAAGTGAATGATTATTCAATAAATGTGCTGGGAAAATTTAGTTATTTGTATTAAAAGAAAGGAAAGTGTATTTCTACCTCACACCTTACTTGGATATTCAAACCCTGTATAAATTAAATAAGTTATTGTAAAAAGAAAAACTATAAGTTTTTAGAGAAAATTATTTCGATATAGAAATCATGGCAGGAAAGGACTTTGAGAAATATGTGCAGAGGACTTTCTTCCTGAGTGCAGTTTCCTCATATCTGCATCTTGGCTTGGGTGGTGGTGAATCCTTGATCCCAGTATCCAATTGCCAGATTCTACAATTCCAATAATTGTGAAATTTCTAATTTCCTATATTGGATTTTCATTAAAAAATCTAGAGTACATTTTATTTCCTTCACTAAAGAATAAATACAATTTCATAGCTGGATTTTGGTCAACCTATTCAATTTGTGGAATTACTGGATGCATTAATATTAAATACACCAAGTAAGTCTCTTATAAATTGACAAAAGGATTACAAAACACAACTTTTTGCTTTGTGATATATGCTGTGAGTTGATTTTTCAACAAGGCAATATGTAATTGAAGAACCTTTAAAAAATTATCTTTGTAATACAGTATTAGTTCTTCAAACCTACTATAGAGCAATTGTCAACAGAGAAGATACCTGTGATCTGTCACTAAAATCAATGAGAACATATAGTTTACAGATAATCAGAAAGGCATTCATTGTGCAAAACAAAACAATCTGTTCCCAAAATGTTTAAAATTCATAGTGTTTTTCTTTTTTTAAAAAAGTGCACCCAAAGAGTTAATTTAATGTAGGTAGATTCTGTGGACTCTACTGTGATATGAGTGACTTAAATACATATTTTAACTTTTGGAGGAGGCCAATTGATCTAGCTATACATAGAGTGTGGCTGAACATTTTTCTATCCAAAAGTTGGTCAGAATATACCAAATCAATCATATGCTACCTGTACTTCTTAGCTCTGTAACAGTACACAGTTAATAAACTTCATTTCTCATGGAGTTATCCTCAGCTATGAACACATTATATGAATCTTTAAATCAATTAATTTGACCAAAACATTTATTTTTACTATGAGATTAACACATTTTAACAATCTGAATTTTTAAGTTTAAAATATCAATCTCTTTAACTAAAGGGAACAAGTTCTATTAGGTCATATTTTTACATGCCAGAGAGGTAACATAGATCGCAAACAAGAATAGATTTTTAATGTTCTCACCACAAAAAATGATAAGTTGGTGAAGTCATAGATATGTTAATTAGCTTATTAAATCTTTCTATAATGTATACATAGCTCAAAGCATCACATT